TAATACATCAAGCAAACAACCAGTACGTTTTGGCTGTTTTAAAGAGGAAAAAAAGAGTTTAAGTTAAAAACAAATAAAAATGATGCACTTCAACAGGTTATATCATTTTCCAAACCAAGAGAAAGGAAAAAAAATTAAATGCAAACCTTTATAGAGGAAAGAGAAAACAACTCCTCATCTACGTAACCGTCATCTGTTGCATCAATTTGCATCCCTGTTGCTTTTCGTGCCTTGTCCTATAAGATTTATATAATTAAAGCAATGAATCAGCTTGATCTCATGCACTTGAAAAATAAATAGACAGAAAAAATGAGCTTAAAATGTCACGAGACAGAATTAATATTTGTTTTGGACTGGAGCGATAGATGAATTTATTTTTGAGACTAAACATCATCTATAATTCTGTAAACATACTAGCCAATCATTATTCTGCAAATAAATATTAATCAAGGTGATCAATGGAGGAAGACCAAAATTCCACCATATAAACACTACATTCCAGCCAAAGGCAGGCCTCCCTTCACGAATTGCCAATGGTTAAGGGGTCAAATGAAGACAGTGGTATAAAGATTGGTTAACAACATAGATAGGCACAATGATGATGCACAGAGGGCAATACTTATTCAAGTGCGTGTCTAATCACAACTAAATCAGTGGTAGCTAGAGCTAAAAACCTTGGCTCTTCTTTTAGCAAGAAGCTTCTTTGCACGTTTCTTCTTTCGGTCCATCACATTAGTCAGTTCCTCCATTTCATTGAGTAATCTATCTTCTTCATCCACCTTCAGCTCATTTTCCATCTGTTCTTTAGTGGTAGGATCAGGCTTTTGAGTTGGTGAAAGAGCTTTTCTAATGTGAATCCTCCACCTACATGTGACGAAGATATACAACATCAAAACCCCACACAAAAGAGGGAACTATAGTATTGAACTATTTTATTAATCCACCACATATCAGATTGAATTCAAATCATGTAGTTACTTTAGAAGATGCTTGAAATCTTGCTTCCCCAAAACCCTTAAATCATCGCAGAGTGATTTGACCTGCAAAACAACATTAAAAGCATTAAAATTAACAACACTACTTTCGTCTGAATCCCCACTGATTACAAAAAATGCATGATCACATCTCATAATTTAAACAAAATACCTCTTCAGTTGTTAGATCATGATCCTTGATTGGTAAATCGGCTGCATCAGCAAAGGTTATAGAAGTGACTGAACCAAGGATCTCCAGAGGAGAATCTGACCAAATGAAATTTGAAGCTGAAGACATCTTCCTTAAGGTTGTATTTCCATCTTCATAGCTGTAGTCGTGAAGCAGTTAGCAACAAGTCTACAATAAGTACAAAACTATGTTTGGAGCACAAAACCAAAAATTATAAGGGAAGCAATTAAGGGGGATGGGGAACAATATATTTGGCTATTTATATAAAAAATCAGATCAAGTAGTAAATAAACTGACAACTTTCTCACATTCCTAATGTTCTCTGTTTATCAGGATGCCTTAACAATCCTTCGAAAATAATTTGTTATGCAAGACTACTCATCATGAATTTGAAAAGGTATATCGCAAATAAACAAACACAAACTAGAAGTCAAACCAAGCCTTGCAATGAAGAAGTAGTTACCCGTCACGATGCCTTTTCTGCTTAGTATCTCTCAGTACATCCACCACCTGCATAAATGATTCCCCAATCACCAACCGAGGTAACGAAACCTTACCAAATTTGGAACAAAAACCAAAATTGTCAACCCATGCTGCACGAAAACAAACAAAATCATTACCTTAGGCTGTGGTTCCACAGATCCCTGGAAGAGATGCTTCACATCAAGAAGTCGCGGATCAATCTTGGCAGGAGCCTTGTACCTAAGCCCCAAAACATATATCTCAGCAGATTCAGATCGACTTGCCGCAGGCTTGTCCACCTCAACCTTCTCAAATAACTAAAAATCCACGAACAAGTCTCAACAACTACGCCAAACTACAAAAAATCGCAGGTACAATTGTTTTGCAATTAAAAAAAAAAAAACTATCACATCACCTGCTTCAAGCAATACACCACGGAGCTGTAATCTTGCGACCTGAAAATCTATCACACAACAAAGCAGCAATGAATAGTAATTACAATAACAATAATTACAATAGCAATAATTAAAATAATCAGAATAATAAAAAACAGATGAATTGATTACTTTGGTGACAAAGATGCCCTTGGGAGCTAAGAACTGAGTGGCTAACTTGACCGCATCGATGACGAGGGCGTTCTGGCTCATGGCTTCTTGAGCCCAGGCGCCACCGACGTTGGGAGAGCCATCGTGCAAAATGACGTCAAAGGCGCGACATCCGCGCTCGTTCATGAGCTTCTTGATGCGGGACTTGCACTCGGTTTTAGTGATGTCTTCCTGAATGGCGATGGCACCGCGGATGGGGGCGATGGGCGCCAGGTCCACGCCGATGACGAGGTGGTCGACGGGGACTCGCTGCACCGCCACCTGCATCCAGCCACCGGGGGCGGCGCAGAGGTCGAGGACCGCGCGCGCGGACTCGAGGAATTGGAACTTAGAGTTAAGCTGGACCAGCTTCCATGAAGCTCGAGACCTGTAACCATGCTCTTTCGCTAAGTGATAGTACTTGTCCAAACGGTGCTTCCCCTTCGCTTTCCCCATTGATGCACCACACTGCAACTACGGGTTTTTGTTAGGGTTTTGAGACACACCCAGAAGGAGATACACTCTTGCCATGAATAAACCATTATATCCAATGGACTATGCCTTTTTTTTATTATTGGGCTGAAATTTAATGTGAATCGGCCCAGCAGGAATATTTGGCCCACTAAAATTTATACTTGATATATAATTATAAAATATATTTGTATTATAAATTTATATTTTTCTAAATATTTAAGGTTAAAACAGTATCTATTACAAAAGAAATAAAATATATAAATATATATATTAAATTATTTATTTGATTTTTATGATAATTTTATATGATATTTTATTAAAATAAAAACTAAAAGTATATATATATATATAAAGTTAAATTTGTAAATAAAAAATAAATAATTATTTATTTGAGTAAAGATAATTTTTTAAAATAATATTTTTGTTGTAATTCGTTGAGAGGAAAATAAATATATTATAATAATAAAATCATATTTTTTATTATACTTTATTTTTATACTTATCTACAGTCACTTTTCCATCTTCACATTCTCTGAACTATATTGGATTAATATATCTCCCTGCGAAGATAAAATTTATTGATGTTGTTCTGATCCTGGAACATGTTCAATATATTGATGTCATGGTTATTTTAATGAGAAAGAGATAAATTAAATTCCGTGTAGACGGTCCTGGGAGATAAGAGAATAAGATAAAAGTAAATTATGATTTGACTAAGCTTCAGTTTTCGATTACACATTTGTTTAGCTAAGTTCAAATCAAACTGATTTTCTGATCTGGCAGCAATATGCTAAGTAATTGCCCCTGAAAATAAAGTCATTCCAATAACCCCATAGCGTGCACTCCTGTCCTGCACTAAGGTTCTCTTTGGATCCAACTAACCTTGGAAAGGGTAGGAGAGAAGATTTACGGTTAAAGTTCTATTTCCAATGCAAAAATTTAAGATTCCAAAAAAAAAAAAATTGTTTGATGGAAAGAAATGCGAGGAAAGTTGTATGAATTAGGTTATATATAATATATAAATAATAATAATAATTACTATTATTATTTTTTTAATAATAAAAATAATTATAATTATAATAATTAGATTAATAATAAAAATAAAAATAAATAACATAATTATAATATTTTAAATTATACTAATAATTATTATTATTTTTATTTAATTATTTTTTATTTTTTATGAAAATATTTTTCTATTATTTATATAAAATCAAATTATTCACAGACTTTTATACGCTTTTCTCTCTTTTCTTTATATTTTTTATTATTTTTTTTATTAATTCAAACAATCTCACCTTTATCCATCTGTCTATCCAAATCTTTTCTTTTTCCCTAGATGAATCCATCAACCAATCTAAAACATAGCATAAATGTTAACCCCCAGAAGCAGCATTTATTCCCATGTCTTCTCACTCCTTCATGATTTGTCAGAAAGCGATTATAGCCAACTCCCACATGGTAAACATCATTCTTTCCCGGACTATATTCTATTTACCAGACATTCACATATTTGCACTTATTTCTTCACAACATTTCATAATATGCATCACTTATTTGTTCACAACATTATATGCACCTTGTGTTAAACAGCTATTACGTCGATTTTGTCTAAACTGTTATTTTATGTCAAATAAAAAAAAGTACAATACAAGATAATTTTTGCCATTATCACATCTTCTATCTATATCACAACATTGCAATAATAAAAAAGGGTTGAGACAACTTATGTCATAACTTAACAATAATGGAGCTATATTCCCTAAATATCATTATCGAATGTATAACAACTTTGTCAATCAAAATAATAATTTTTATGTGAACTACTGTTTGAACCATTTAAAAAACAACAGCAAAAAATAATAACCACGAACGTACTCATAAATAGAATTAAATTTTGAATGAAAAAAATAAAAAAAAAATACACAGGTAGACATAGTGTCAAACTGTCAATAGTTCATCTTACAACCTTACAAGTAAATACGCATGAACAAAAAAGGCATATAGTTTTCCCTGAACAGGCGAAAAATGAGTGCTATAGGAAGTTTGTCTTCAAATCATGATCTGCAGCATCACAGTACAGGCTAGAATTGCGATGAAATCTAAAACTGAATGAAATACTAACGTATATCCACATTGACGTTCAAAGCCTGCATAGTCATGTCTTCTGAGTGGGGCACATATAACATTTCAGTAACTGCATATTGCTCTCTAACTACAAATTCCTTCAAATAAAAGAGAAAAATCAACTACCCTGGATGTCCACAAAGCCTAATTTTAAGATTTGTATTCTTCAAGCCGTGACACAAGCAAACTTCAGTCTGCACGACTGCCACTGCTACTTGCGGAAGATTTTTTGCCAGTATACTTCTGCAACATATTAAAACAAAATGCATTACTATCAATCAGGTAAATGATACATATTAGAGTAAGGTTGCTTCCACTGGGCAAAATGTATAAAACTAGTTACAGGTGCACAAAGTAAAATGACGAGAGGCAACTTAAGCAAGGTAACCTGCTTTCCAATGTTGAATGGTATGTATTTGTATTTGATCATGTGTGCAAGTTGGCGCCTCATTGTAAGAACAAACAGAACAACCCAATAACAGAGTAATATTGGCCAGAAGACAGGAACATCAAATACAGAAAAGAAAGTCATCACAAATGCTATGCAGAAAGCCTTTGTGAAAGAATACCTGCAGCCATAATAACAAATCAAATCATTATCCTCATCTATCAACGTGATTCCTTTAAACTGCTTCCTAAAGACACGGATAGGCTTTGGCATGTTCATATCTCAATATTGTAAATTACATTATATGTTAAACAAATATAAAGGGGTGCACATTAAGAACACCACCCTCCCTCAAGAAAGCTTAATTAAACAAATCAACTCACCACCAAACTCACTGAACAAAAATGTTCTTATTTATAAATTTATTTCAGTTATACAACATCAATCATCATTGAGACAGGATTTTCTGCACATAAGTCAGTTTTCAAAAGGGGCAAGGGGATATCAACATATTTTGTTATGCAAGAATACCTCCCTAATAAAGTTTAGTCATTTGGATTCTTCAAACTGAGTTTTTGAAGAAGTGTAAAATTTCTCGGGCGAAATAGTTTAGTGTTTCAAAATTTAAAAACATGTAGTGAAAAACAATTGAAAAATTTAAATGATTTCCAACACGATCAAATTAAGGTTGACAACCCAGAAAAATAAGAAGACATGAAATATAAGCAACATTTGGTTCAACAGAAAATACTATAATTAGAAAATTCATGATTCATGTACCATTTTAAAAAGAGTAAAATTGTTCCTATTTAATAATTATCAGCTTCTGTATGCAATGCCAATGACTAATAGCTTGGAGTATGGGCAATTCACTGACATTGAATAATTAAATACAGTCAGAGCTGGGGACAACAGCTAGTTATTTTTTGCCCTTCCTAAACACGTGAATTTTTTTAGATAACAAAAATGTTTTCTGGAAATGTAAATGGAAAAATTAGATAAACATTTTCAACATAGCTATTACGTCTACAAAGCTTATACTGCCAATTTGAATTCAGAAATTACTCCGAGTCATATTCAAATAATCGGATTGACAAATGAACATAGCAAATATTTCAAGTCAAATTCCACTGATAAAAAAGATAATGCCAACATGTAAAGAGGCATTGCAGCAACAACCCCGAAATTATGACCGACCAGGGGTTCATATCAAACAAATACCATGACCCAAGTTTACTTCAACAAGATAATCTTCAAAATCATTAAAGCAGCAGGTTTTGCGTCAACTAATGACAATGTTCATGTTTTCTTTATATGTATGACAATGTTCATGTTGTATTAATATGTTCACTACCATACTATACAACCCACACAACAAAATTCCTAAATTACCAGAACTTAAACTCAGGCAGTCGGCGAATGAACGGTTTGAACTCGTCAGAACCTTTAGTCGGCAGCAATGGTCCATCAGAGGGCTCCAGCTCAGGATCGACCAACGGTGACAGAAACCCAATCAATAGATTCAGTAGGTAGATTCCCAATCCATAAGACACGATGTAAAATCCTTGGACATAAAAAACCCGCAAAACAAAGATTGCCACAACAACCAAACTCCCAATCCATCTATACGTAGCATGTGGTGTGGATTTATCCAGATAATATTGAAATAGCTTCGCCAATTCCTGCCACCATTGGTTCACGGGTGCAGCAGCCGAGGCACTGCTGCCTCCAGTTCCTTCCATTCAATTCACAATCTGCAAGCAAAAAACCATCGAGAACACTTTCAAACAACCAATTCGTTGTAAATCTGAAACACATAAGCATAAAATATAACCACACGCCATTTAATTTCTCGCACAAACACAATACGCTAATTAAACGACATCAAATTTACTTGCATAACGATAAATTTGTAGTTTGTAAAACAGAGGTTCACATTCTAACGATTGTAACGTTTAGTTTACACAGATTCCATTTAGAAGAATAAAACGAGAGATTCGAGCGCCGTTTTCATGGTGCGAATCAAGATCTAGTGTTCAGGGTTGGTTATTTGCAAAATCTGAAAACCCTAGAATTTTGGAGGATGGAAATGGAAATCACGGAGAGAAAATAGAAATATGGAGAGAAAAGAGAGAGAGAGAGAGAGAGAGAGAGAGAGAGAGAGAGAGAGAGAGAGAGAGAGAAGTGAAAATGCATCAAAGAAGAGGAGCTGACCTGCGAGGACAATTTGGAGCTCCAAAACGAATCGAAGAGAGGATTGAATTGATGGATGACGAACCCCGCGTTGCAGATCTACAACGCGATGCGAATTTGGGCCTGTAGTTTTTTACTCTTTTTTTATCTATTTTTTTAATTCTTTTTCCTCTTATTGTTGTATATAGACTTTATCGACCTTTTTTATGACAAAATCGTTAGTCGAATCTAAAACGGCATATCTCATGCCTGTCGTACGAGAGTGTGTGACTGACGACCTTTATTTATTTTTTGTCTGAAATGAGGGTCGTTTCGTTGCTATTTGTCTGTGATGGACTCATAAAGGAAAGTGCTGAGGAGGTTACACCGTTGAAGGGCGTGCCACGTGATGTGTCGTTAACTTAATGCTATGGACCATATTTTATAATATGATGTTATTTAATTTTACTTTTGATTGGCAGGGATAACGAACATACATATTTTATGATTATTCATCTTCAAGTCACATTGAGTATACATTAATCCAAACTTTTAATTTGGATTGAAGAAAGAATCTGAGAGAATGAAGAAAGAATTTGAGAGAATAAAACAGGTTAAAAGAAAATAGTTATTGAAATTATTTGAATTAAAAAATATATAAAATAATAAAAATATGTATTTATTATTAATAAAAAAATATTATGTTAATATATTTTATAATTATTTATAATATTATTATTATTATTAAAAAATTAGGTTAAATTTTAATTTTATGCACTGAACATCTCATATTTTCTAAATATTAATATTATTCACAATGTGCTTCTTTAAATTTATTAGAGGGAGACTAGTTACTTATGAAGGGTCCCTGCTCGATTTTTCTCCCGTGGGTCTCGTCTTTTTCTTTTCTTCAAGTAAAGAGACTGTCCTTAAAAAAAAAAAAAAAACTTAGAAAATAAAGAGAATAAAAGAGTTCGTCATTGATGTGTACAAGACAATAACATCTTACGTTTGATAGAGCAAAACTTAAAATTGTATATCTGAATAATTGTTTTATCAATAATGAATTTCTTTCCATGGAATGAAATAATGTTAAGCTAATAATAAATTTTACACCGTTAAACAGATGATTAAAAATATTATAAGTTCCATAAATATAAATAAAATAATTAAAAAAAAAAAAAAACCTATGAGAAGGAAAACATGGAGCATGAACCTCAAGAATATGGGAGTAGAGATGGACTATTAGAATTTACCTCCTTGTACAATTATAACTTTTTCTTCTCATTACATGTACATAAATCCTAATTTCATTCATGGTGAAATAGATATAATTTGTTAACTCTTATGTAATTTTATTTAGAATCTAAATATGAAATCTTATTTTTAGTTCTTGATTTAATTTTATTTTGAATATTTAGATTTAGAAAAATTAAAATTCATGATTATTTATATATATATATATATATATATATATATATATTGACTTAAATAAATTTGAAATTATTGATGCACACAAGTTCTTACTGCAAAAGTTTCTTTATTAAAAAAATTATTGATTATTTGAGATTTTTAAAATCTCTAATATTAAGGAATTATTTTAGAATGATTTATTAAACTTTAAATTTAAATTTAAATTCTTGTATATATAAACAATAAATTGTAGAATGTTTATCTATTAGAAAAATCCAATTCAACTATTTATGTCATTTTTTCTCTTATATAACAAATTTCTTTCTATAGGTTTGACACAAGTTTTTCATTATTAAATAAAATTTTGAATTATGGTATCCCCTAATGTTAGACAAATGACATCTAGAGGGGGGTGAATAGATGCACAAATTAAAATAGATGTCAAATTAAAAATTTATTTGTGAGTCAATAATTTGTTAAAGCGGAAGCAATAATATAATCAGGAAAAGAGAAAGAGATAAGGGAAAGATAAGAGCACACAAAGATTTATACTGGTTCGGGTATAGCCAACCCTACATCCAGTTTCCAGTCAACTCTTAACACAAGAGTGACTCCCCATTCACTATCTTTCAAATTCAGTTTACAAATTACAATCAACTCAACAAAAGAACCAGTAAAAAGTAAACTAATTAAAAAGACAATCACCTCCTTAGAAACCCACTAAGGATGAACACCTCCCTAGAATCCCACTAGGGATGAACACCTCCTCTGAACAAATCAAATGATGAAAAACACCTCCTTAGAATCACACTAAGGATGAACACCTCCCTAGAATCATAATAGGGATGAAGGTAATAAAAATAAGAACAGGCACACCTGGGTAATGGAGACAACAAATTGTAGAAGCCTGTAGAATGTCAATCTCCAAGAACAAGTGTGATTAACAATGAAAGCACATAAGACAAGTAGAGAAGAAGGTTTTCTCAAAAGGTGTAAAACATCTCTGTTGCCTTGCTCAGAATTCTTTTCTCAAAACTGATTGAATGTATATTGTATTTTCGAATTCTGTAATTGTGTGTATTTGATTTTTCATCAAAACTTAATTAAATAGAAAAATAGCATCAGAAAATGATCGTTGGATATTAATAATATCATAGAGAAAATCAGGATGTATTCAAAAATATTTATTCTTTAAAACGAATATATTTTTCAAATTTGAATTGTCATAATTGATTATATTACCAGTATAACTAATTATGATAGAGAAAAATTTCTGGTGCATCATAATTAATTATGACAATGAAAAATATCATGTTATGAATTTTATCACACTTGTGCTTTGGAGGCTTATGCATAATATTACTTCATCAACTTGTACATCCATATCTAGTATTCTAAGACTCTATCTAGTCTTCAGGAATCATCTTGGGCTTGCTTGAATCATCATCTTTATCACCTACGTCATAAATTCAACTTGTCCTTAAATTCATCTTGAATGTGTTGACTTGAATGTAGTTGACTTGAATCATCATCAAAATCATCTCTTGGGAATGCAGGAGCATTTCCATCAATCTCCTCTTCATTGCTTTCAATCTCCCCCTTTTTGATGATGATCAAGGAAACACCTAAAATAAATTAAAATGCTTGACTCTATATAGCCAGCTCAAGATTAGCACAGATTTGTATGTCAGAGTCTCTTAATCTCCCCCTGGATATATTAATAACAAGACTCCCCCTCACTCATATGAGCAAAGACTTCTCTTAACTCCCCTTGTTTAATTTAGATATAGGAAAGAATTTCACACATATTTTAATTCATCAAAAAATCTCCCCCTGTTTCATTGATAATCATAAAAAATATTATAAGAGAAAAAAAATCTCCCCCTGTTTCACACAGATTAATATCATCAAAATATCTTCCTGTTTCATTAATAATTAAAAAAATATTATAAGAGAAAAAAATCTTCCCCTGTTTCACACAGATTAATATCATCAAAATATCTTCCTATTTCATTGATAATTATGAAAAATATTGCAATAGAAACTGAGAACAAATTTGTACCTATTAGTATATAAATCAAGGTAAAGAAGATAATGCATTAAAAAGTATAATAGAAAAGAACATCATATTAAGGAGGCAATATCTAGGATACCCAAGGCTTGTCTTAGCTCATAAAACCTATCTCTAGATAATGGTTTGGTAAAGATATCAGCTAACTGATGGGTGGTATCTATGTATTCTATTATGCAATCTCCTTTTTGAATATGATCTCTAATAAAATGATGTATGATCTCTATATGCTTAGTCCTAGAATGCATGATAGGGTTCCTAGTAAGATTTATTGCACTAGTACTATCACATTTTATAGGAATATGATCTAGAAAAATATTGTAATCTTCTAACTGCTGCTTCATCCACAAAACTTGGGCACAACAACTACCTGCAGCTATATACTCAGCTTCAGTTGTGGATAGAGAAACACAAGCTTGTTTCTTAGAATGCCAAGAAACAAGTGAACAACCAAGTAGATGACATGTCCCACTTGTACTTTTCCTATCCAGTTTACATCCTCCATAATCTGAATCTGAATATCCTATAATGCTAGGTAAAGCTCCTGAGGGATACCAAAGGCCAAATGATCTAGTTCCTTTTAAGTATTTAAAAATTCTCTTAATAGCAACTAAATGTGATTCCTTAGGATTAGCCTGAAATCTAGCACAGACACACACACTATGCATAATATCAGGTCTACTTGCTGTAAGATAAAGTAGGGAACCAATCATACATCTATATTTTGATTGGTCAACCGCCTTACCTTTTTCATCTTGATCTAGATAGCAAGATGTTGCCATTGGAGTAGCTGCTTCCTTTGAATGTTCTAATTCAAATTTCTTGATTAATTCAGTGCAGTACTTTGATTGTGAAATGAAGATGCCGTCAGTTTTATGTTTGATTTGCAGTCCTAGAAAGAATGTTAGTTCACCCATCATCGACATCTCAAACTCACCCTGCATTATCTTGGCAAACTCTTGACAAAGATCATTGTTAGTTGAGCCAAAGATTATATCATCAACATAAATTTGAGTTATAATAATATTTTTCTGATGCTCTTTTATGAATAAAGTTTGATCTATTTTACCTCTCCTATAGTTGTGACTCACCAAAAAATTTCTTAGACGTTCATACCATGACCTAGGTGCTTGTTTGAGTCCGTACAGAGCTTTCTTCAATTTATAAACATGATCTGGATGTTGATAATCTTCAAAGCCAGGAGGTTGACACACATACACATCCTCTTTGATGTATCCATTTAAGAATGCACTCTTTACATCCATTTGATATAATTTAAATTTCATGATAGATGCATAGGCTAGTAGAATTCGGATAGCTTCCAATCTTGCTACTGGTGCATATGTCTCATCATAATCAATTCCTTCTTCTTGACTATATCCTTTTGCAACCAATCTTGCCTTATTGTTTGTGATATTTCCCTGCTCATCCAACTTGTTCTTGTACACCCATTTAGCTCCAATAACCTGCATTGACTTCTTTCTTGGTACTAGATCCCAAACTTCATTTCTCTTGAGCTGATTTAATTCCTCTTGCATAGCTTGAATCCAGTATTCATCTTGTAAGGCTTCATCAATACTTTTAGGCTCCACTTGTGAAACAAAAGCTACATTCATACAGAAGTTATTCATTCTACTTCTTGTTGTAACTCTTTGATCTACATTTCCAATAACATTGTCCAGTGAGAGTCCTCTGGGTGTACGCCATTCTTTGGGTAGATCTCGAACTGGTTGAGATTCAGAAATAGTATGTTCTTCTAAACTCCTTCTAAGATCCTCCATTTGGTCTTCCTGTGACTGAACTTGTTTCTTTTCTGCTGCAATTTGTTCTTCTTCAATATCTATATAATCTTTTCTTGACTCAAGAGGGTTCTCCTCAAGGTCCAAAAACTCATCAAACGTTACATGAACAGATTCTTCTACATGCAATGTTCTCCTATTAA